CAAGTTGATCGTGGTGGTATTGATATCATAACTAAGCAATGGCTCATGGAAATTCTTTCAAAAAGGTTGATTCTGACAGGAAATAAGCCCATTCAATTACTCGAATCGAGAAATCCATTTGGCCATATATTTGAATGTCGTTGGGGAGTATGGAACTTCATAAACTACCGAAAGAAGGCAATTTTTTTTCAAAATTGAAATATCACTGTTTCATCACACAATAAGACAACGTTGGACACTGTATTGAATACACTCATCAATAATATGATTTCGTCACATGGTTTACCCAAATATTGGAAATGGTATTTGTCAAAAATGGCATTTCAAACGTCATTCATGATTCATGTTAGTGAACTTTCGATAGGGACAAACAGAACTCTGAAAGGTTTTGGATCTGTTGAATATAATAACATTTTGCTTCACAGCGTTGGATTCCAACACACACATTGAACTTAACTTTTTATTTTTACATGTGCTCCGAATATTTAAATAGAAGAAACCACATTCTTTAGAATTTTAAATGTTGAGAACATTACAAACTTTATTTTACTATACGAAGAAGTATTTTTCGTACATTTTTCGGATCTGTATTTGATGAAAATTTGACTGTTTTGGTCACTGTATCATCTGTTGTTCTCGCGCCTGTCTTAGAATGTCGGCCACTTTTCTTGAGTCAAACTTCTCAGCCAAATCCAATGCCGTTTGATCCTTCTTATTCTTAACATTGATATCAGCTCCGTTATCAATGAGAAACTGTACAACGTTGGCCATTCCCAGAGCTGCCGTCGCATGAAGCGCAGTGTTACCGTCTGAGTCTTTCGCATCGATATCGGCACCATTTTCCAAAAGAACCGTAATGGCATCCGTTTTATCTACAACACAAAGATTATTGCATTTCGAAGCAGTTTTAATTCATTCAGTTGTTTTATCAGAAGAAAATTCCACAGCCATCAGCCAGTGTTTCATTTAGATAAATAATATGTCACTTACCACCGATTGCAGCTAATGATAATGAATCCGTTTCACCTCGTGACCAAGCACTAACGTTAGCACCGTGTTCGATCAATATTCTCATAATATCCACACGACCTGTGCAAGAGTATAAGTCAAAATTATTTTTATCTCGTTTTGATGGATTTATAGAAGTTGAATAAACGAATTAACCTTTCTAACGTATTTTTTCTTCATTGAAATTCGATCCATTTTAGAACAGGTAGATGGATTCACAAAATGGTACAAAAAAGTTCTAAATTTCAGCTAATTGTTTAGATTTACCGTACATAGCAGCCACATGAATTGGTCTGGCTTCTCTATACGCCGGTGCATTTACGTCAGCACCTTGTTCGATGAACATTTTAACCATATTCTTTCGACCATAATAACAAGCTAAATGGATTGGTTTGAAATTCATCATTGTTGCATCAAAGCTGGCGCCCTTAGCGAGAAGAGCCCGGGCGATATTTTCATTATCTGAAATTGAAAAACATGAAAAAAGAAATTATCAGTCAGGAAAGAAAAATAATAAGAGTAATTTGAGAAAAAATCAAGAAAAATGATGCAACAACCATTTTTAATGGAATGCACCAACGGTGTTCGCTCCTCCACGTCTTCAGCATTAGCGTTGGCGCCATTTTCAAGGAGAAGTTGAACGATATCTTCATGATCTAAAGAAAATTATCAATAAATTCAATTATAGACTGGATCAAAGAAGATTTTTTGGATCTTTACAATTTAACAAAACCATTTATATCTTAAAAAATTGAATTTCATTACAAAATGGTTACACTTACTATTTTTTGCTGCGTAGTGAAGAGCAGTCTCTCCAATAGAATTTTTGGCATTGACATCGGCTCCATTTTTGATCAAATTTTTTGCAATGTTCAAAAGGCCTTCACGAATGAAATTGCATTTCAATCAAACGAATCACGAACAAAAAACAAAACAGTTGTGTTGCCTTATAAAAATGTGCTATTTACCGTCTTGAGCAGCTTCATGTAATGGAGAAACATCATACACGAAAGTGGTTCGAAAAAAGCCTCCAAAATCGTCCAATGGAAACGCATCTGAATCATAAGATAATAAACATGTTTGATTTTAAATTTTAAATTACAAACTAAAAACCTAATGAACGAATCACAACTTTCACAAAATTTTAAGCATGCTCTTCTTTGATCATAACCTTGAAGCCAATTTCCATACCCGTATTTGTTTCGGAGAGATTTGCTCCGAAGAATAGAACAGCTACACACACCAATCTCATTCTAATTCTTTAAAATGCACTGAAAACTTCAATTCGACTAAGAAATTGAATTAGGAAATGAAAAAACAAATGACAAAATTCAAATCAACTAAAGAATATATTTTTAGTTCGAAGAACACACTTCTTTATGCTTCAAACGTTCAGTAAACTGAAATGCTGTGTAATAATGAATGAAAAAAAAATCTATCTATTCTAAACACAATTGGCACAAAATCAAATCGAGTGGTGACTGGCGCTTTGCGACTGTTCCAATGAAACTGAATCATTTCGTTGACAGAGCGCTGATTTTATACTTTGAAAAAACGAATTGAGAGAAAAGGCATCACACATCATACGATAGCAATTTAAGCATGCATTTTACAAAGTGATTGTTATATATGGAGTGTAAACAAACCAATTTAGAAATTCTCAGATGGCTTTGTTGACTGGATAATCAAAAATATTCTGTTCTGTAAGGCACACTTTGATTGAAGTTGATTCCGTTGCTGGTGTTAATTCAATAATCCATTATTTTGTGGCAACACGTGCCCAGCGCATACGTATTTGTATGCTGAACATTCATTGCTTTTATCATGCGAATGCAATGCTTCCGTGTCATTGACAATAAACACTTATTCTCATCAAATAATCACAATTACATCAGTTAATAGACTGATTTGAATCTATGGTTAGCATAATTTAAAATGCATATCAGCTTTTATGCACTTCATAAGCCACTTTTCGCATGACCTCTTCTTTCCGTGAAGCATAATAGGTTGATCTGCATTCGAGTGGCGACTTGTTCAACAACACAGAATTTGCAATGATTTAAATTGGTTGATTGAGTGGCCACTGGCCAGCCGATTAATTTCGGAATTTTCCCTGGCTTATGATTAAAAATGATTATGGCAAACAAAATGTGCGACTTTAGTCAACTTCAGTTATAGTAGCCTGATCGTTCTCTTCAGTCAAAATGTCCGAAATTTGTCTTTTGGCAGAAAGAATAGCTAAACGTAAATGTTTCTTTACAAAATGTTTGAATTCAATCAACTTAGACAGTGGTGTTTGCAACACCATACAACTGGAACGTTCAAAATGGTTTCGATTAAAATTGTTGTTGAAATCGAAACGATAGAAATGGTATTTTATCGATCTACCACAGTAGAATCGATAAATGAAAATAAGACTACTTTGAGTCACGATTCATAAAACTTTATTAACAAAATAATTATAGGAAGTGCAAATATCTTGTGATTCACAAGTTGTGAATTAAGGTTTCTATACCACTTTTAGTCGATTTTGGAAGATACAAATTTGGATTAAAACGTACAGAAAGAAGGAGTTAGCGTTTAAGAATTATTTTTGAATTCAGAAATGCTGTAGTCTTGCCTATCCAACTTAACAGTATGGATAATTTGGGCATGAAGCGGCAACAATGCCAGCTGGGTAAAGACGAGTGGAGAATCCTTCCAATGGTGCAACTGGTGCAGCGAAACTGGTACCGCAGTATGGATAGTTGGGACAGGTGCTTGGGTTTACACCAGCTGGGTATCTAAATCAAAAATCGAGAAAACAAGACATTTAGTGATGTCTATGTAAATTTACCACTTGAAATGGCGTCAATCTAAATGACTCTTACTTGTCAACAACAACAGTTGATGGTTGGTTCCAGACCGGGTTGACAGTGTTAACTGATGGAGTGTTGTGTACAACAGAGTTATCGCAAATTGGGAAGCCTTTACGGAAAGAATAAACAATAGATGGAATTAAATTGCCTTTTTTCGATGACATTCTTAGAAATTTGATTGACAAATTGAAAAAAAAATTGAAGAATGGTGAAAGAAAAATGTTCAAAACAATTCGTTAATTCGTTGATTGAAAAATATGATCAACATTGTAACAATAAAAAAAACTATAATTTCTTTTACCTGGGCAAGCGGCTGGGCTTACGCCAGCTGGGTATAGACGAGTGGAGAATCCTTCCAAAGGTGCAACTGGAGCAACTGGAGCAACAACAACACCGACTGAGGTATCGCAGTATGGGTAGTTAGGGCAGAGGCTTGGGTGTACACCAGCTGGCCATTGGGCTGCTTGTGGAGCTGAGTAAGCAGCGGCGATGAGCACAAAGAAGGAAATCTACGACAGATAATAACAATCATTTAAATTAACCGCTTCATGATATTCAAAATGCAACACAACATGCATTCATTCAAAGCGCATATTTCACTTTATTCCATTTGAAATTTTAATTCACACTCTGTTTCGAAATAATTGAATTATTAAGTGCAATTTTGACAAAATATTTTCATATTTTCTCTGAATTATATTAATATTTTTCACTGAATTTAACAATCTATGTTTTTCGTATTTTTTGTAATGCAACCGTATTGATATCATGTGTATTTGTATTTTATGTTGAACTCTTACCACGTTTGAATTCATATTGGACTATTAAGTGTTATATCTATTTTGTTGTACAGAAACAAAAAACTATATGTCACTTTTGTTGAACAAATTATGTTTTAATGGACAGTGGACACTCAAAACTTCCAATATTGTTCCGATTCGGAATGAATTGTTGTACTGATACAATTGAACTAACTTTGGTGGTTTAAATACAAATCCAAGAACACTGTAGAGTGCAAAAATGCCATGCTCCCCGGCTCATGCATGTACTTCATATTCGCATGCAAGTATATTCAACTATATTTTCTATGCTTTCACACTTGTTTCTGTTCGTTTTTTTTTACTTCTTTTTCGTTTGTTTCTATGTGTTATTCTCTCAATACTTCATAATGAAAACGACCAAAAAGAGAAAATATATTCATCCAATGAAAAATAGTCATCCACTTTTGGTGCCACGGCAGAGACCGAGAGTGAGAAAGAGAGAAAAAAATCACTACCACATGAACATTATATAATTGCCCTATGTGCGTAGAAATTAGACATAAATCAAGTAATATCAACGTTTCCAGTTTTTCTGTGGTTGAACTTGCACACCGCGGGCGATTGCACTTAAGGTTGTTCGGAGAATGTGCATTGTGCATACAAATCAGGAAAAGTAAAACCAATTCGAAGCCAGAATATTCGCGTGTGTAAAGCGGTGAACTATAATACTAATAGAAACGAAATAAACTAACTCCAAACCAAGCTATTAAGCGTATTTTTCCTCTGAAATTTCAAAAAAAATGTGAAAAAATCAGAAAATTGCATTTCTCTAAGCATTTATTTCTGCGCACTGCACTCGCGAGCGAGCAGGCAAGGAGACATGCGCGATATTGTGCTGAACGGATGATCCCATTAAACATTTCATTATTCGTTGCGTTATCGGCGTTTGTTTTCTTGAATTTTCATTTATTCAATTGCTCTGACCATTTGGCATGGCATTTGACGTAGACGATGTATGCTCATTGCACATATGCATATATCATTGAAGTAAGTATTTTTTACGATTCTCTTTCTCTCCATCTCACTTCCGCTATTGCTTGCACTTTCTTTATGAAACATTTTTTTTTCACTCAACATGCCATTCTAAATTTACAAAACATGTCGTTTATATTTTTGGCGAATGTTTCTACATGTTTGGTATGTATATTAAATGCCTCGTAAACGAGGTATGATCGATTGCTATTTACGTTTGTTAAACAATGCAAATGCTTTAAGCGAATGAACAAAACCATTCAATCATAACCGGCTAACCGAATATTAAGTTTTAACCGTAAATATCGAGTGCACTACATAGATGATGTTTCGGCAACTAACCAATCACTAAATAGTGAAATGCCACATCTACACGTGTGACGACAAGTCCGCTGCTTCATTGAATCGTATGTAATTTCAAATCGGACAAATCCGTTGAATAATCACAAACCATATAAATGCATTGTGAATGCGCCTAAAAGTTGTCAACTATACTTACTATAGTTGACGACTCGATTTGAATTAGAATATTTAAGTTGTGATGTGAACTTGCCTTTTTTTGCTTATCATTTCCAAATATTGCCGTAGCACTGATACCGAATTTACAGCAAAGAAATCTATGGTCTAGATCCGTACAGCCCAGTTCAACGCTGAAAGTCAAAGAATTAAGACCGAAATCATCAACTCAGACATTTGTCTTGTGTGAATTAAAAATCATAATCGAATCATAACGGAAAAACAAACTCAATTAAAATGGCCAAACTTGGATTGTTGTTCATCGCAGTTTTCTGCATCGTTCAAGTGAGTTTTTTTAGAAATATTTTTCATTTGAAAGAAGAACAGAACTGAAACCATGAAATAGCTTTATCGTTTTCTAATTAGCAATTGCGTTTCACATCTTAATAAATAAACTAACTCAATCAGATCAACTGCTCAAAGAGTGCTTGTTTATTACTTTGCTTTTCTATAACTAAACCGTTGCGACAAAGACACGAAGAAGATTTTTGTTTAAATTTTTCTATATATAAGGTTTACAGCAATTACAACTCAGGTATAAAAAAAATTATGTTTTACTTTAAAATAAAAAAATTCTTATTCTCTTTTTCGCAACTGTTCACACAGAAGCTATTTATTAACCACTGAACGATCGCATGAAAATGAAATTAAAAACAGTTTTTGAATTTCTTCTATTTCAAATTTCTTCGATTCATAAACTCAAGCTGACGACACTTCAGTACAAAATATCTTTTGAGTGCTTGCAGCGCCACGAACTCTTGTATCATTTTGTATTGAAATTTCGTTAGTTCATGAGTTCGCCGTAAATTTCGTCAAAACGTGTCGTCACTTTGCATAAACTGAAAAATTCGTTCAATTTTTCTAAAACAAAAATGAGGAAAAATGCAAATAGATAAAGGTTGAATAATACACAAAGCTTTTGAACGGCTACTATTATACAAATCTGTTTTTATTTCACCGAAAAGATGCTTTTCATCCGAAAATCCAAGACACATTTCCTTTGTCGATTCAAAGTGCCTACATTTGAAAAACAAAAAACAAAAATAGTTATGGTTTACGATTAGTACGCACTCACATTCGTAGCATCATTTTATCAATTCGGTAGTTGACTGTCTTTGCGCAGAGTGAACTTTCTTATCACTTTATGGCCGAAGTAAAGAAGACGCAATGCGAATGACCTCGCAATACATTCGAAATATTCCCAAAAACGCAAATGATGTAAAGTCATGATCTATTAACAAAGCGATGAAATTGTGAAACGTATACCAAAACTTTAGGCTATTTTGTTCATTTGTAAATATTTGTCGACGCATGAATCCTTATCAACTAACATAACAGTTCTGTCATTTTTGGCTTCAACTAACGAATTGAATTTAATGTTGTATTTCATGCGAAAGTACAAACAAAATGAAAATAGAAACCACAGATTGTTTGATCATTTTTTTGAACTTTAGACGCTACATCAGTGATTTAAATAAGTGAAAAACAAATTTCCTAATCGAATTCTTCTAACAAAACAAATATTTATCAAGTAGAACCTAGGCTTTGCTAGATTCAGAAAAAAGATTAACTTTTTTTTTATAATCGCTTGTATTTTGTTCGCTTCAGTTAACATCGGCAGCTCGTGTTCCTCGTGAAAATACTGAAACAACCACTGAATCATTCTCCGATAAAGTTGCAGCAGGACTTAACATTGCTGAACAACAACTCAAGAGTTTGTTTACGAAGGAAAATGCTGACGTAAGTTAATTTGTTTTCACCAATCTGAATTTCAAAATTTGATGACAAGAATTTTATTAATTCTGATTTGGTAATTTTGTTTGGGTTAGTAAAATAGTTTGATTAATTCGATTCGTTTTTTCTACTTTATAGAAAGCGGCTCAGGCAATTTCGACCGGTGCCAATAGCGCTTACAAAAGTGCACAAACCGCTTTCGATGAGCTAACAACTGGATTGAAGCAGTTTAGCGATGATCTTCAAAAAGAACAAAAGAAAGATTAGATGCGCTGGAAGCGGGCCATTTCAAGCAGCAAGCGAGAGAGCGAGAAAGAGAATTTACATTACTTTTACAAAATAACTCAAATCTGAAGGGGGAATTCAGTTTGTTTCTTTGTATTTTCTCGAATTAAAATAATAAAAACACTTTCACTGCTGATGGCAAAACATGAAAATTTATTTCTCTTCTAGATCAATCGTCATATTTGACATGCCTTTTGTTTTAATTACTTTGTCCATTATTTCTTTCAATCATGGAATCGAAACCACATTCTTTATTCTAATCTCTCTTTCTCAATTTTGTTATTTGACCTAATTTCATAGCAACACTGTGCTAATGACGCATATCCGTTAAATGAGTCGAAAACGCCTAAAAGTTGCCAACAATTGATTGTGTCTGCAACCATTTTAAACACAAGATCGGAGACTTTGAAAAGAAAACAATTTTATTCTCCACATTCCACTTAAACTTACAAAAGCATAACTTAGCTCACAATTTGTTAGTTACAAATTAATAAATGTGCAGATTTTTTGTTTTACAAAAGTTCGATTTTTATCAAATATTTCGGAATTCTTTAGTATTATTTCAATGAATATTTTCGAATCAATCAATCTTAGATTACAACAGCTTAAATGACGAAATTCGCATTGAATATCAATTTTTTATATATGATTTTTACTTTATCGATTTATTTCACATGTTATTTTCATAAAGCCTCATATAAAAAAAAACTGTTGAATGTGCATGAATGTGAATGAATGTTCGACAATACTGTTTTACATAGAAATTGTTATTACTTTAATCCTATATCGTGTATTTTAAGCTATGGAGAATACGAAATAAGATAATTTATTGATGGAAAAAATGAACACGTTTTCATGGCGCTTTATAAATCGAATTTGAAAAATTGATATCGATTGATCGAATTTCACGTATGATGTCATTGACTATGATTAAACGTCGCTTATGGTGCCTTTCGAAGCATATCTCGTATCCGGAGATTTTTTTCCCTCTTTCGTGCATTTGTAAAGGGAATATTGGATGACCAAGAAGTAGACGAAGAAAACTAAAATGCAAAAGAAAAAATCAGAATAATGAAATAAAGCAAATTTTGGTTGGGAAAATAGACTTATTATATTTTTTTAGTCAATTGCTGTATAAAAATGCACTGAAAATGCACTTTCTAGTTATGGCCCAATCTATTTTTGTTCAAATGATAAGATTTTCAATCATGCAGTAAAAATCGCTAGAAATTCATGTTCTTATTTAGTCATTGCAAATATGATAGTTATACCCATTGAACTGAGCGCTCAGCCTGCTGAGTTTACGTGTATTTCACGCAAACAATGTTTCATACACATTTACATACTTATCGGTGTGAAATATTATAACTTATTTGCAATGACCAGATTCGGATCAAACGTGAACATATTTTACAAAATTGGAAAAAATTATCAAAAATCTAGAAAACGTACCTGCAATACAGAAGAAGAAAATGAAGTAAAATAATGAGTCCGTTTGTTTGCCTTTTACGCCAGTGATGAGGTCAATCAGCGGTGCGATGCAGTAACATAATGATACAATCGCCGATGCGAATGATAGAACCATTGAGGGTATCATCCATTTGCGCTTGCTCTGAAAACAATGAAAACAAATCATTCGCATGTCAACTTTTTTGCATGTGAAAAACTAAAACGCATTTGAAAAAAAGTAAAACTTACGTTGAAAATGCCCAAAAGATATACTATCGTTATGATGAAACAGAGACCTAAAAAGTGAATCAAATAACTATTTATGTAAAGCAACTATCATAATTGCAATACTAATTCGTAGTTTAATCAGTTAAGAAAAAATATTCTCCGCAGAAAATTGATGAATTCAAATCGAATTTCGATAATCAAGAATGAAACCAAGTTTTTAATCTGATCATTGTTTGACAAATTTCGAAAAAACGAAGATTCACGAAAAATCTTTGAAAAACACAACACATGACGTAATCCAACATTATATGGATGACTACTCACAATCAATCAGCGTCAACAATTCCGGCGGTACAGTTACAATGGTCTTTTCCCTTGTTCCTCGAACTTGGAAGCTAATCACGTCAAAAAAAGAACCATTTGGATATTTTTCGGTTATTTTATTATTGTTTTGTTCATTTTTTTAAATCATTTCTCTAATTAAATGTCCTCAATTTCAATTCTTGTAAGAAATATCATCGTGATCGAAGTAAATTGAATAAAAAATGTTCATTTTTTGTAGTAAAACTTACTAAATATCTCTTTGTTCCGTATTCAAAATGATATATGCGTGCGAAACTCGTATAATTATATCCAAAACACCCATCGTTATGCCTGCAGTCTCCAGGCCGATGCAACCACAGCATTTTTGCACAGTTGGACACGACATTTTTGCTCTGAAATTGTGGAAAAATTCAATAAGTTTGATCGATTTTGATGAAAAAAATTCAGCTTCAGCACGAAATTTTGATGAGTTAATACTTTTGCAATGCAGCTTAGGCAGCAAAGCGATTTTTTGTTTATAAAATTCACAATGTGTTGATGATTGTTCAATTCAAATGAGATTTTATTTAAAGAATAACTTGATTCTTAGCTAAAATGTTGAATGCAACACTTCAAACTGAACTGTGGCACAATTTAAAAATTCTGTTCAACAAAGGCGCAAATCTTCAAAAATTCGTATTCAATCCACTGCAAATCAAAACACGAATAAATGCTTACTACGAGAAAAGAGACTGAGAATGGAGAAGTACTGCGTAGTGCGTATGATGACACTGGATAGGAATGTGTCGCGTATCAATGGACAGAGGGTTCACTGACGCATGTGTATTTGTGCACGCTTCACGAAGGCGACACACAGTCTGCGACACTAATACACATGCACATTCGAATTTTCCAGCTTCATACGCTCCGTCGTCGTTCGTATTTCGACATTAGTACGATGCTTCCCTTTTCAATGTGTTCGAGATGGAAATTATGACCAAGTCAATGCATTACAGCGATGTAATGAAAATAAAACTAGTTCATTGTGACTACAATATAATAAACGAAACCATCAAACTCATATGACCCGCATCAATTCGATTTTTGGCACACAAAATATACGCACTCCATAAACATACGCAGTGTTTTTACAGAAAAGAAACGGGAACCGGTTGTTTTTTTGAGAAGAATTGTCTCCTAAGAACGTTGAATAAATGGCTTAAATTTTTTTTTGGATTTCGAATTGATTTTTTTTTTCTTTAACAATTGTTTCGTCGAATTTGGTTCACTCATTCAGCACAAATTGACATTGTTTGTATACAAATTACAAAATTGGAATTAATCTTGTGTTAAATGTAGAACAATGCAGGAAAATCTTTTGAAACACATCAAAACAATGAAAATTCTTATCTACCAAGGTTAATGTTATACAATTTTTTATTATTTCATTATTTTTCCCTATTTTTCTTGTTGTTTGTCGTAAACTATTCCCATTGAATGTGGCATTGCTTTCATTTAATGCATTTCAGTGTCAAAATTGGGAGATTCAGTTATAAGTTCTCTCCTCTTGCTTCGCACACCATTTTGTAGGCATCGAATCTATGCAACGATGCCAGCTGATGGGTCACAACCCAATGTTGTTGTTCGTATTTCTACAGCTGGCGTTCTTCGTGTCGTTGTGGTGATCATCGCTGGAGTTGGCTGAAATATTTTGAAATTTTCAATGCAATTCTGATTTTTAGGTAAAGAAATGCTTACCTGTGTCATTAAACTTGAAACTACTTCCGATTGTTGTACTTTCTAGTGTATCGAAATTGAATAAAAGCTGAAAATGAACATACTTTTTTACTTTCGACCTTTTCAAAACGATCTGAGAACGTCTTCAGTCCAATGAACACAAAGACATGTTCATTTTCTTCAAAGACTTTGAAGAGAGTTCATTCTTTCCACTTTTTCAGCCTTTTTTTAGCCTATTTTCTCTCATTTCATAATCATTGACTGAATTGCTGTAATTTGTACTAAATTTCAATTGATTTATGTGCAAATTCATACCGTTGTAACTTCGGGTGTTTTAACTTCTACTGTGATGTGCTCACCAGTGGTTGAGGTTAAAATGGGCTAAAAGAATTGAATCGGAAGCAAAATTCCAAAGTTTTACATTCATAAAAATCAAAGAATATCCATGAGAAATCAAATCCACTATTATTTCTCACTTACGGTGCTTTCCTCGGTCATTGTTACTGCATTCATCGTCGCTGTCTCAGGAGAAGTTTCAGAAGTGCATTCATGTTTGTTTTTTAAACTATTATCTGGAATAGTTTCATGTGTAGTTGAAACAATAGTCGATGTGTTCGACGTGCTTTCAAACGTATTAGTGCTATTCATCGTGCTATGCTCAGTAGTCCTCGTACCAAATGTGGATGTTGCTGTGGAACGTTCTGCCTGGATAACATCAGAAGTTGAGTTCGGCACTTCTGTGCTGTTTAGAAATGCATTATTGGTTGGCGGTTCACTTGTTGCACTTGAACTTTCAATTGAGTCGTTTGATATTGTGTCTGTTATCAATTCTGATGTCGCTATTTGTTCACTTGTACCCAAGGCTAATGTTGGTGATTTAGTCGTTTCGGAAGATGTGGTTAATTGTTCCACGTTTAAAGGTGTCGTCATTTCTTTCGCTGCATCAGAGGCAATCGAATTGATTGATTCATGTGAAATTGTGGTCAAGGGCAATTCAGTAACTGTGCTCATTAGAGTCGTTAGTGGCATTTCAGATGGTTTGTTTGCGATTTGTGGTTGTGTTTCGGTTGATTCATTTTCAATTTGTAGTGAAGTTTCTGTAGATTCGTTTATTATTTCGGACGTTTTTCGGTTGATCCACTTGCTAACTGCGTCAATGTATCGGTTGGCTCATTTGTCGATTTCAACGCCAGCAACTTATCATCAATCAAGTTTCTCAAAGGCTGGGTCATTTAAATTGGACATCAAACAGGTATAACCTATCGAATCTCTTGATGACTCAATTTCTTTGGGTTTTGTTACATTTTCTTCAGTGATTTCTTCCTGCAAATTTAAAGTGTAATTGAGAAAAAAGTGTTCCACTTGCGCAAAAGGAAGAAAAAAAAATGTCTCTAAAACGCATTGAATGAATGTTGTGACCAATATACGAATAATCTCGTTCTCCTAACTGGATTCGAGTTGCGGTAATCTGGAAAATACAGCGGTTCTGTCGTCTCACCATCCTGACTTTCGATAACTTTGGAGCAATCACAAGCCGAATCGCCATCCTCAATCAAATCACTGAATTGAGCTAAAAGTTCACTCTTCGAATTGGTTAAAGAAGCCAGAAGAAAGCAAACGCTTAGCACACTTTTCACATTATACTCCATTGATGTAAATCGCTTCAATTTTATGTTGAAACTGCGAAAAAAACGCTTCACTTCAAATATTTACCCAATGAACACATGTAATGCTAAATGTTTGAATTTTGTGCATACTTTAATGTAATGCTAAATGTAGCACTGAAAGTGCAAAAATTGTGTGATTTTTAGATAAAATTTTGTTTCTGGGCACAATATGTGTAAAAATTGTGCACGATTTAGAAAGAAATTTACTATGCACAATAATTGCACGTGTTTGGCTCATTGGGTATAACATCTTCTAATCTCGAACTAATAATGATATTTAAAGATAAAACCTCCGAATTTTATATGAATTTTGTATGAGCTCATCTGATAACTTCATTCAACCAAATTTTTCATTTATTTTAATACCAACGTTTGTGAAAAAAAAATATTCCAATTCCGAAACGATTGTTTATCCCTTTATCGCTCTTGTTTTGAGCGAGATTTGAAGGTCACCAAATTTTGTGTATAAAACAATTTTCTAATCGAAATCTTGCAATCTGCCACCAGCTTGGTTCGAAATTTTCAGTATGGATTATGGTTTTGAAACGTTTTTTTACTATGAAAGCAGTTATGGATGCTTGGATACAGCTAATCAAATCAATTTAAGTGCTGAAGTACTCATGAAATTTGTATTCCCTGAAAAGGAGACCAGAAAACAGTTTAATTTTTGCTGTCCAGTTGACGTGCAACCGTGCCTGTGTAGCATGGGTGTGTTTGATAAATCCAAAATCAAATTGTTTACGTGATTCTACGATTGAACTGGAACAATTTTATTCGAATTGAAATAATTGTTGGTAAAATAATTTAAGTTTATCATTGATATACTTTCAATTGCAATTACTACTTGAAGGAAAACCATGGTTCCCTGAAATCACTTAATCAAGATTGTCATTTATCATTATAGTTTCGGCGTTTTTTTCTTCACTCATATCAAATGGAAAGAAAATGAAATGTTACAAGAGGAGTTCAAATTATTGTTGAATTTACAGTCGTATTTCACCTTGCATCTTGCAATCGCCGAATGTAATAAAATAGATTGATTCACCGTCTCTTTCAATACTATTTCGAGTGAGATTATTCACATTTTTTTCACTAATTGTCTTTTTGCAATTTGACTTCAATACACATAAAATAAATTACGAAATTTATTCACACTCAATTCGTTGGACGTTTTATGTTTGACGTCTTTAGTCGATGTGCACGGGGCAATTGTACTGCTTTTTGCGTATTCAAATTTTTTCGGCGCAAAGGAATGTAAATAACGAATTAACCCATTTGGTTATGCAATGGCAAATCGTTTGAACTTTGACACTATGTGTGTATATGTGCCGAATTCGAATGTTCTTCGCCGTCGTGCAGAATATTTTGTAGGTGATTTGAATGTCGCTGGAAAAAATCTTTTTTTTAAGATGCCAAACAGAGCAACAAGACAAGCACATGTAAAGAGCAAAATCTTGACCGAATTGAATTCTTAAACAAGTGCAATCACTGTTGTGAGCATAAAATATTTGTTTACTTGTGCACCAATCAACTGTTTCATTGATCTCTCTGGCATTTGTTATCTAAAGTGTTTACAAACCTTTATCGCAATGCAATTAAAGTAATCGGGTCGACTTTTGGAACTTGGAATTTTATTTGATTCTGTCTGCTGCATATGAAATGAGTCTCGAAAAGAACCGGCGGAATCAGTATAAAACTCGTTGGTGTATTCAATAGACGGTTCAGTAAGTTTTACTGTCTGATTTGGTTTAAAAGTGATTTTTTGCTTGCTTTGTTTACAAAAAAAAATGAATTCGTTTATTGTGTTTGCATTCTGTCTTGGAGTCGCTTTTGCCGGCGTAGTTCCAGGTGAATGAAGATTTTGCATTGGACGAAAATTATTTTCTTCTTTAAAAATTATTTATTTTCCTTCGAATTTTTTTGAGAACAATTGATGCTTTCATTTTTTTCGTTACTTTTCGTTAATTTTAAATATTGTTTTGATTTCAGTTGATAATTCGTAAGTAAATACAGTGGAAGAAATGTTATTGATTAATGAAAAGAACACTTGACAGTTTATAAAAGAATCGAAAAATTTCTAATGACAAAACCATCAACCATTTTTCCTTTCCACTCAGCTTGAACGAAACAAACTCCGAGCAGGAAATTAAATTGCGTGAGTCCATTGTGTCAAGTAAGTAATTCTTTTTTTTTATTTAGACAGCAAAAGTGCTTCGTGATTAAATGAGAGAATCAAATGGGAAATGTGAACATTTTTCGTATTGTCTAGATCAAATATCGGAAGTGACACGGTTGATTGGAGAAGGTGTCAATGTGAATTGCACTTACTATGGAAACCGGACAATGCCATTGCATTTAGCGGCCAAAAATGGTAAACTTTAATGAATAGTAAAGTTGCAAAATATGTGGCTCAAAGTTTTCGCTGTAAGTATCTACAACATTCAACTCTTACTCTTAGGCAATGTTGACATTATGAAAAAACTCATTGAAAATGGAGCTGCAGTCGACGGGAAAACCCATAGAAGAGAGACTCCATTACATTATGCTGCTGCTTTTGGTAATCAATTCAAAAATGTATATCATTATAGAATACTTTTCGCATTTGCTTTATATACAAAATATTATTTTGGTTCAGTGTACACTTCAGATGCTCAAAAAGTATCTAGATATCTGATATCAGACACAAGTGCACACTGTTTTAGTTCAAACTAGGTATTCCTGTAACCATATACTTTTTTTTTCGAAATTGAACGACGAACCATCAATGAAAATAAAATTAATTTGATTCAAATTTCTAAATTCTTCTTGAAATATTCGAATTGATTTCATTGAAAATATGTCGGATGTGAATAGTATTTTATTAAAAATGCATTGTTTTCTTATGAATAAACCTGCCACAGGAAAAGCGGATGCTGCTAAAATTTTACTACAGCACGGCGCCGATGTCAATGCAAAGAATGTCAAGTCTAAAACGCCTTTGCAATATACATCTTATCAGGTAATAGCTCACAAGATCCATACAAATTATTAAACCAATAATAAAATAAATATTTGATTTATCAAATGAAGGGCTATATCGATGTGGCGAAAATTCTTATTCAGCACGGTGCCGATGTTAATAGTAAAACTCATTTCAATGTGAGACCATTGAGTACAGCTGCAACGAAAGGTATGCAAATAATTTGATAGAGTTCAATATTTTTGTGATGAATATTTAATTAAGATGTTGCATTACAATTGTGGCCATTCAAGACATGTCTTCGATTTTAGCATTTGTGTTTGTTTTCGCTTAGGTCACACGGCCTTGGTTAGGTTGCTTATCGAGAACGGTGCTGAAATAAATGCGCAGAACTCTTTTGGCTACACACCTCTTCACTGGGCCGCATCAGAAAACGGAGGTTTTTTTCTTCCATTTCCTTTCATTGCAATCTTTGAAAATAATCAATAAATGAAAAATATATCTTCAAAATATTTCCTTTAGGCAATTTGGAGACAGTCAAAGCTCTGATTGAAGAAGGGGCCAATGTTAATATCAAAAGCTCCGGCGGTCAAACTCCACGCGACATGGCGCAAGGTAGGTTAAATCAACATCAACGTTGAATATTCCAAATTCCATATTCTTTAAGTAAATGAACATTGAACGTTGTTGATGTTCATCTATTGTTCACTAATTTACTGATAATTCATTAGAAATTAAACGAAAATTTAATATCATCAAATACTCCAACTCTTCATACTTTTTATAGCTCCAGAAATCATCGATGTTCTAAAAGAAGCGGAAGAGAAACAGGCACAAGCAGGACACTGAATTTTGATTTTAATTTACCATAGATTTGCCAAGTGAAATAGAAACACGGCACAAAAAATTGATAGAAAACTCGAAATAAAAGTTTAAATTAAAACTCGACAAATAAACTGACTTATGTTACATTTAGGTGTTTATAATGAAGTTTTCAGAAATCATTGACCATTGAAATTACTCTATGTAAATTCTTCTGATTGTTTCGTATTCCAAAGACCAGATATTGCATATTTGCTGCTGAGTAGGCCTGAGCTGAGCTGAATTTGCTAACTCAGGCGCCTGAAGCGGTATTTTAGCACACTTACGGTGCAAAATTGTCGTAGATCGCTGAAGTCCACGCTGTTTATCAATTATATTTGGATGGATTCCAGTGAACCACGACAATTTTGCACCGCAAGTGTGCTAAAATACCGCTTCAGACGCCTGAGTTAGCTAATTCGGCTCAGCTCAGGCCTACTCAGCAGCAAATATGCAACCTCTGCCAAAGACCGCACCTACTCGCAAGAGACAATGCAAAATGAAAGAATAAAGCATATCACATTGTGTTTGTGCCTATATTCTAACGAAGATATGGTCTATATCAGACCTTCGTGTGTTGATTCGATGCGCGCTTCTCTCTTGCTTTGTTTTACTTTGTTTCTTGCGACTGTGTGCGAGTAACCACATGTGACACTGTATTTTACACATTAAATGGACACGGTGAAATAATGTATTGGTAACTAATCGTATGATTTTGAGAATATTGATCAAAACCATGTATACCGAATGTACCGGTCTATCATAAGACAATGGCATGTACAATGTGTTTATTTTTCATAGACGACTATGACATTTCAATGCAATCCGAATTTCAAATCGTCAAAATTTCTCTGAAATCATCTTGAGACAAGCTGATTGTCCGACTACAAAGTGTTCAAGTGAAGATAATAATCAGCTGAATTCAAAGAAATTGTAACAACGTTTTTTTTAATCAATTATATTGAAAAAGTCTCTGTAAAAAATTAATCAGACAATTTCAAACAGTCTCAAGTAATTGAGCCACATGGAGAGTGACAATTTTGTAATCAATCATAGAACGATGTGGACGGTTTTTGGTGCATTCATCGTTTTTGCTTTGGCTTTTTGCGTAAGTGGATTTGTATTTCATCATACTTTTTTCGCTTTTTTTGAAACAATGGTGTCAATGTTTTAGTTTTTCGAATTTAATCAATTTAAATCAAATCATTTTTTTTTCTTTTTAAGCTTTTTTCAACTTGATTCGGATTTTTTTTGATAAAAAGTTCCAACTTTTTCCAATGATTTTCATTAGCTCATTTGTTGAATTTGCTAAAAAAAATTAGCTCAAATGCAATTACCAAATTCCAATTTTTTTCTTCTTTGATTTTCCTTTCTCCTCCAGTTCCATTGCGATGCAAGCCAATCATCGTCCATATCAGCAGACCCCCACAACCGAGTGTCTTTTTCGTCTGTAAAAGAGATTCTGGATACCTTCAAAGACTTTGATTTAATTGAATTGCAAAAGTATTTCAGTGCAAATCCAATGAATCGTTACGCGATCGTAATTGTGTTTAAACATCGGTATTTGTATGAACAATTCGTAATCAATTCGCCCAATTTGTCTCCGAATGGAACGTTCAATGACACACTGGACGTGGTGCAAAATTTCGGTCACTTGATAAAAATGCTAAAAGTGGATTATCGATTGTTGGACACGGATCAAAGCGCAGCATTGAATAAAATCCTCAATGATCGCTCTTCATACTCATTGGTTGACGTTGAATTGGTGCATTGTGACGATGATAAAATATTGGATTTGCGTGGGCCATTCTTAAATGTTGAAAGTGTTCAGCTCCGCATGGGCAATTTGCGAACTAATGCATCGAGATTTGACAAAATTTTTCCGGCACTTCGTCGCTTGCACCTCGGTGAAATGTACTACACTCACGCCGGCTGCTTCGAACACAATTTTCCACATTTGGAGAGCTTGACCGTAGAGTTTTGGTATGGATCGTATCCACACACCGCAGTGCTGTTGGAAACAAGATTGCGAGCGAATCCTCAGTTGAAACACGTTACAATCATCCGATGCACTTGGAATATGCTGGAAATATTGAGCAAATATTCGACGCAGTTAGAGAGTCTCACTTTGGAACAGTTTCACGATGATTCCGTTTTTGAAGGCAAAGAAATTCGCTTCAATAGTTTGAAAGTATTTAAATTCAAACCACGCAGTGCATTTAAAAAAAACATCGGCCGAATTCCAATTGTGTTCGAGAAATTGGAGGAAATTGAATTTCATAATTCGCCCGATGAATGGATTGCAATCATGCAGAAGAATAAAGGATTGAAAATCGTCACAACTGGCAAGTTGGACGACTTGCAGTTTATTCATGTTTTATGTGTTGTTCCAAATATTCAAGAACTTTACACCGGCTACAATGCCATATCCCCATGCAATAACATCCTTAGATTCATACGTGGCGCAAAACATCTGAAGCGGATTCTGTTTACAGCGTTTGATCATCGGGTATTGAATCAAATTTACAAAAGAATAGACCACGAATGGGACCTCCTTCCTGGTGGAATGTTGGTCAGAAATTGAGACGAAGTTCGGCGAATTACTATGAATTTGTTTTGTTTTCCAAAATTTCTATGGTTTTTGTTTTTATACAAATTTTGAATGAAATTCACAAGACTTTGTTTGATTTAGCTGCTTGAAACCATATTAAAAATGAATTTTAGACTCAAACCAAAAAATTACGAACATTCCAAGTTGGATGATTACAAAGAAACAATTCAATACTTGCGATTTTGATTTGATTGATGCAAAATAAGTGCCAAACAATGACTTTGAAATTGGTGATTTTGAGCCATTTTACACTTGTTTAGATGACGATTTGCGCATGGACTGTGTCTATTATTCGTTTATTCGTTTTGATAGATTTAGTACATTTTAAAATCCATTCGAGTTGAATTTTTGAAATTACATTCAAAGTACTTGAAAGTTATGTCAAATAAATTCCAAATCCACTTGACAAAACATATTTTCCATTTATTTGAACTCCTTGCTTTCAGCGCATTTGACTAACTGACTGGTGGTATCTAATGGTTGATAACGATAAAATGAGGCGATCTACAGTTGTCAATGGCGTTTATTAGTTCCAATTTAGACATTTTAAAGTCGTGTTTTGAGGCTTCTCTCGAAAAATGTGATATTGCGCAGAAAAATCGGTTAATTTAAATCGGTTTCTACCCAGCTAATGGCCAGTTTAATCAAAACGCTTGGGGAGTGTCTTCAATTTTTCGATTTTATTTTAAAAAAAAACAAATCAAATTTAGCCAAATGAACGTGGTTTTGTTTCGTGGAATAGATGTTGCCTCTGTATGAGCGGAACAAAATGGAAAGTTACAGTTGAAATGAGCAGATACGTTTTTGTGAAGAATTGAAAGCTTTTCATTTTGATGGAATTTTTCATGCCTTAGGATCAAATGGAATGAAACGAAAGTGTACAATGTTCACGAAATATGTACAACAAATGTAAACATTTTGATGAATAAAATCCAACTTAAATCAAAACAGCAATGCAAAATTTAATAATGCTTCACTCAATCTGAAATTGACGTCACTTATTGGCAGAGTGAATTGTATTCTTCATCTGAATCCGTATTCTTCATGGGAAACTGAAAAATATTTGTGTGGATTCACGAGTTCTTGATAATGGCGCTATTGAGTGTTATTATTCTCATGATTATACGTGTGTTTACATACATTTTATGTTGTTGTAGCTGCTCCCGCACGGAGATTATATGAAGCTGTGTATTAAATCTCAATTGGCTTCAATTCTTTGAATAAAACAAATTGAGACTTTTTTTACTTTGCTTTTAACGAAAAGAATTGTACGATGACTCTTTGTTATCAAACAATAATATTTTTCAACTTTTGTGTGCCACTGTCAGCCACTGTCCCCATGTGGGCGATTATCACTTCAAAGTGTACTCTCTTGAAAATTTAATGATGAAATTAGCTCGACCCATGATGAACTTGTCCCATTTTTTTTACTGTCAACTAATAACAACAGTGATGATGTTCGAATGACGTACAAAGAGATTATTTTACACACAAAAACACATGTTTGAATTTTAGATCTGGTTATGCATTTTCTTTGAATCTTTTGTGGGAATTTCTACCGAAAAACAGAGTACCAGTTTGAAATCAAACACTGTCTTTTAGAATCAGTTTAGGATGTTCATTTTTTATTCTTCTTTTAATATTCGTTCATTTTGAACGATTTTCTAGAGTAAATAAATAAATTAAAGTTTAACAAATTACAATCATGTTTTCTTCAGATACTTAAAACAAATATTGTGCGTATTTATATTTATGGTTCATTTTTAACACAAAAAGGAGCAGATAATTGAACACTTGACTTGAACCATTCCTTTTGTATCAAAAACAAAGATCACACTTTGCGGAGAAGAATCCTGAAATCTACCAAAAAAAAACAGACTAATCAGCAGATCTCAATAGCTAAGTATCAGACTCATAACCTGAATGTTTGGAACCGCTTCTCATAAAAAAATGTTCGAAAAGAAATGTTCATTTTTTTGCAAGACGTACGAATATTCATCGTCAAAAGTCGTCGCGGAATGCGGTAGAAAGCGGCAGCGACAGCGGCATTGGTTTTATTTTACACCCTCCGGCTAAACCAAATACATAGTCGAGAGACAGTGATTCACATTGTGATTATGCAGGAAGGGCATTGGGACACTTGAGTACATTGTTTTCATGCATATATAAAAATCAGCATTTGGTATCAAAATTTTTCTTCTTCTTTTCAGTATATATTCATATACTATTTCAGACGAATGTTGATTTTATATATTACAAATGGAAAGACAACCTTATCTGAACATACATTTGAACGAATGAATGAAACTGATTGTTTTCTTCTCTTTTTTTAAATAAATATATATATTTTTGTCAAATACACACATTGAGAAATGCGTTCAATGGAGAGAGAAAGATACAATAACTGAATGAAATACTAGATTTGAAAGATGCGAAAAATGAGATGTGCAAAATCTTGTATAGAAAATATTTAAATTGTTTTTCATTTATAGCAAAAATGCAAAATTTAATTGAATTTTAAAATGCTGAATAAAAAGAATTATTGCAAATTTGCGGGCAACAAGAACTTGGTTAGGATTGTTCCAAAATCGGCAAATGTGTGCCAATATCACCGAATTTCGCTTGATGAACGTTAATTTGAACGAAAATATCAATGATTTCCAAAAGTTTCTAAACCAATTTCCGAATCTCGAAGTATTCATTTACACGGGTGCCCAACTGAGTTTGCAATGCTATGTGATTTTGCCATTTTTTCGACTCTGAAACAACTTCCAATTTTACGAATCGTGCAACATCCGCATTATGTTGATAAAGTTTTCGGTTTCCATGAGGCAAAACGTACCCAATTGTTTACGCTCTTTTCGCTTCGTGAATCTGAACACAATGCAATAGGACGATTGAACCACCTAAATTCGAATACTCCAATATGAATTGGCATCGCATGAATGACTTGAATGAAAATAGAAGAAAAATTTCTATCTCCCACTCTCCGTATTTTGTTTAGTCTTCATCATAACTGCCATCGCATGAATGACTATTCTTATTAGATAAAAAAGTAACTAAAAAACCGCTCGATTTCAATAAGAAAATGAAATGTTTGAATTTCCATATGTTGTTGCTATTGCTGTTATTTCTTCATCATGATCATTGAATGTTAAATGTGCACATTGACCGTTGCCCATTGCGCACGCACCCCGAACAGCTTTAAAGTTCAACAAGATAATATTTTGGGAATTGATCTTTCATACTGTTGATTGCTTGCTTGCTTGTTATGTATGTTGAATATGCACATCGGCCGTTGTCCATTGCGCGCGCATTCCAAACAGATGTATGTAAAATACAAATCAATACTATTCATTCAATGACGATTATTTTTCAGTAGAAACTAACAAACATTGGACTTTACCATTGATATTTTTCTAAAGGCAATGGCGAATAACTGATTGCAATAATACACTTCGCTTTCCACTCTTCTGCCATACACATTATTTTTTTTTAATCATCTGTTGCGAAACTGTTTCGAGTTTTGCTCGACCTTAAAGAGTTCACGTTTAGTTTTAATGATAAAATTAGTTTTACAGTGTTTTTTGTTTCATATCCAATTCAACTAGGGGGTAGACACACGTTAAAAATGAGAAATCTCGCGAATCTCACAAATCCCGTGAATCCCGTGAATCTCGTGAATCTCACAAATCATACAAATCAAACCTCTAGTCAAACCGATTCCGAACCAATCTTACGAATCCCAAGAATCTCAAAAGTCTGTAAAAGTATGATTTGATTGGTATATGAAAGAAAAACAGAGTTAATTTTTTTTCTGGAAATAAAATGAAGAGGAGACTTTCGCAATTATGTAAAATAAAATATGTTCAAGTCTGCAAGTATTATTCTAGGTATTATTTCATATTAGACACTTGATTAAAAAGCCAGCAAAAAGTGAAAACTTTCATGATCCTACCAATCTAAAGAATCTCACCAATCTGACTAATCCGACCAATCCGACGCTTCAGATTCTTGTGTGTCCACCCCCTAGCAATTCAATGTGATGTTCATCCATAGAAATAAAATACGGCAACGTTATTGAAAAATATATATCTCACTTTAAAATAAATCATTTAAATTCATCAATCAGTTGAAGTCGATAAATATGTGATTTGAAAGTAATTGAGGCATTTTTTTTATTATTAGATTATCAAAATATGGTTTGATAATAGAAATCGACTCATTTATATGTTGTCTGGTTATACGATATTCGGAAACAGTAAACCAAACCACAAATCTACTACCTAATATTTGTCATATTTCAACCAAAAAAAAAGGATTTAAACGTCACATATGGCAACAATTGAAAGAACTTCACGCCACTGTACCTGAGAGAACTCACTTAATTACAAGGTAGATGTCCTTCAACATGTTTTTCTTTGTAATAGATCGGCTGTAGTTGTGTTTGTAAGTTTGAGTTTCCCCGCCCCCCACCACCAAAATCCTATTGCACGATAACAAACCGAATCTCAAATTGAGCTGTAAGAAATTAAAATTCAGTCACAGTCGTATTCAATTCATTGAACGTAGAGGATCTTTCCAAATCGAAATTTTTTTAAGCCAGAAACAGTTAACTTGAAATAATTTACCAAAAGTTTTCTATTGCTTTTGCTATTGTTTAACTTTTCCTTTTCATACAACTGAAAGTTATCGTCTAATTACTCAAGTGTCGAACGAAAAAGTGAAAATATAAGCAAAGTATGTGAAATGAGTAGAAAAATAATGTTCACGACAGTATTTCGTTCATAATACAAAAGAAGATGAAGTCGTCGAAATAATTTCAAATGCTCCGAAAATTTAATAAAAGTTGTTTTTTTTTCTTCATTTGTTTTAGATCAGAATTCGATTGATTGAATTTGACAAGGTAGAAATATACTTCAATAGTACGAATTTAGGAGTGAAATCAAATCGAAAGTCGAACGAAACTACAAAATGTCCGTGATTCAAGAGTCTACCGGTGAATACGACATTCAAGTTGCAACGGAGGCGATAAAAAAGTTGTACGGAGACGAGAGGACGGCCGACGTGCACTTTATTTTTAAATCGAAAGAACGCATTCCCGCCCACAAATATTTACTAGCCGCCGCGAGTGATGTTCTCGATGCCATGTTCTATGGATCGATAAAAGAGAAAGGTGACGTCGAAATGGACGATGCTTCAGCAGTTGGGTTCAAGGAATTCTTGCGGTTTTTCTACTTCAACAAAGTCAAATTGACGATGGCGAACATTAGCGATGTAATGAATCTCGGCCAAAAGTACAATGTCACTGAGTGTTTCGATCTCTGTGTTCGGTTTTTGGCAGAGAATCTTACGATTTTCAACGCTTTAGAAGTACATAGTCTTGCTGTTCTTTTTGAACAAGATGATTTAAAAACCAAATGTGAATATTTAATTGAATTTCACACCGAAGAAATATTAAAATCGACCAATTTTTTGGAGTGCGATCAACGACATTTCAATACCATTCTAAAACTAGATAGTTTGTCGTGTTCAGAAGCGGTAGTGTTTGAAGCGGCCATGTCATGGGTAAAAGCTGCCAGCAATCAAGAGGAATTGACGAAAGATATCGTTCAAACTCATCTCGGGGATTTGTTTCACGAAATTCGTTTTCGATCGATGTCTCATAATGAATTTATTGATCTTTTACCTTCCTATGGCAAATTGTTTTCGGCAGATGAGTTCAACGAAATACTACAGATGATTCGAAATGCAGAATATCAACCGAAGATATTCAATGCACTACCTCGTACACCAACAGCACTGCCATGGGATGAAGAGGTTATCATAAGATGTGACCGTTTAATAAGTGGAGGAAGTAGGTATCCGTATCGCCTTCAGAAGATTGAAATCACATCATTCACCACAAATAAACCAATATTGTTGGGCTACTTCATGTGTGCTTACATATGGATATATAGAAATGGTCAATATGAATTCGTGCAAAATACTGTACCGGCAGATGTGACCATCGTTAGAGTTTCAAATCGGAACGAATGTCAAAGTGAAATATCTGAATGCATGGTTTTACACACCATGAAAGTAGAACTGAGGGGACATGTTAAAAATTCAATCAAACTCTCCAAGCCAATCATCATTCGTCCCGAATTTAAGTACGAGATTCGAATGAATATAGACATTTCGGAAGGTTGCGTTACTGTTGTGGACCTGAAGTCGGAGGTGAACCTACGAAATGGTATCATTGTAACATTCCATAATGATCCTTTGGTAAGCGGTGAAAGACAGGGTCTGGTTTATGAGCTTGGATTCAATCAAATTGATTAATTCAGCCTCTCAAATTAAATGCTAAGTTTGTATCAAATAAAGTTCAAACATCTCTTACATGTTTCATACAAATGTTAGGATAAATCGAAACAAATGTTTGATCATTTATTACAATAAATAACCAAAAAGAAATATATAAAAATGGTTTCTTCTATTCTTAAATAACTCTTGATTAGCACATGTAAATGGTTATCGGGTTTACATCAATTTTCCTACTTTTAATGCACATAATAGCAACTGAGAAGGTCGAATATTTTGCAAATTGATCATATCGTAATGGAAACTATAAGCGAGTGGACATACTGTGCTCCATCATATAAAAATGATGTCAGATTGTCTATCAAATTGCTAACGATCTTTTAAAAGTCAAATGATGTGCTTAAATAGTGAATGAGTTGCTGAACGTATCTACTCTTAGTTCTAGAGCCATAAAATAATGTCTGTGTGGTGACCATTTAGAGAATGATTCAACTGAGGATTCCCCAGTTATTCACTTGTTGTGTGACTATTTTCCTGAATCATTTGTTCAGAAATGCATGAGTTTCACTGGTATTCTATTTTGCAGGTGTAATAGGTTCATAATTTCAAAATACTGTGGCACTTTATTGTAGAGTTGCCCTAATGTTGTTTATAGCAGTGAATGTCACAACAAAAATGTCAAATAACATACACGATTGTAACACCGGTATTCAAGTTCCACCATCAAGACCGAACAGACTGAATAAAGAATACTTGATTAAAGCACAAATTTACTGTCTGTTCGTTGCACGGGTAGATTTTTTAAGCATTCGAACGAACAGCCAGATATTTTATAAAATGTAAAAAAATACGTCGGAGATTGAAGTGAAGGCTGAAGTAAGATGGCAAAATATGACCAATGACCATTTACTGTGTTCGAATTCATTTAGGTGGTGGACTTTTGTTCAGTTTTGGACTTGTGTCGTGTAGTTAGATCCCGTACAAAAATTTTGGTACTTGTCAGATTGCAATTTGGATGAAATTTGGCGACAATTGATTCACACATATAAGACAAATATCTGGCCAAAATGAGCAAATCACGAATACGAGCTTCGGTTTGACAGGTAAAAGCAAACGCGATCCAGCCGGATTCCGCTCAATTCACTGTGAATAAATAAATAAACAACTAGCTTATTAACTGAATTTTCCAAAAAGTTTACCATTGTGATTTCCATGATTGGATTTTCTCTCGCCCAACAATCACAAACCACTACCTTTGCATCGGCCAACAACAATATGCTTAACTTTACAACAAAATCACCCATTTTGTCCACTTTTAGTACTGCCAACTCCATTCCACAGCCACCATTTATACCATTTATTGTAATAACAACGCTTTGTGCGCGCTTGTTGCGCAATAATATTTATTTACAAACAACATAGACACCGAATTCCCCTACGAGTGTTATCCCAAAGATTATTATACCGCATATCTCGAATACACGTGTAAGTCTGATGGGAAATCTCGAAGATCAGAGTGTTTAAATGTCGGAGATCAACAGTACTACAATCAATCAAACGTCGAAGTTGAAATCAGAATCAATTAAAAATAAGTCGACAACTTTGAACCCATCGTCAAAAAGTGAATCTGTTTCATCAACAACAGAGGAAATGTACACGTCATCATTCGAGACAACGACTGGGCCAGAACCTACCTGAGATGAAAAATTTGAATACGTTGATTTTGCAATTGGATTCGGTAGTGTTTTGGTCGTTCTATTGGTGGCTTTGCTTATTTGGATTTTCGTTCGAAAGAAAAAGAAAGTGACAATAGAGCTCAAACCAATTAACGAAGAAAACATACACGAGGCTGTGAAGAATAAGCCAGACGATGACTTCATTTGAACAACGATTCGTGCCATTTTTATCAAACACATTTCATGCACGATAACGTTATGCGTTTGTGAAAAAAAATGTATTTTCATCATCAGTTGCAAAATTTGCAAATGCATATTGTGTGTGTGAGTGTTGTTAAAATTCAATCAATTTTTTTTCGTGGTGGATTATGTGTGTGTGTAGTTCTAATCTGTGTAGTTTCATTGCTGCTTTCATCAAACTTGAAGTGAAATAGTGGCCAAGATCAATTGCAGCATCAACAACAATTGCAGCAACTTTAGATTGATAGTTCTAAGTAAAATTTTCTCTAAATTTGTGTAACTGATTGAATATTCTACGAAGTATCATGACTGCAAGAATAGTTGTACTGTTGTTGCAGTTTAGGACTCTATCTTATTCGATCGTTCCATTTTTGGAGTGTGTTTGAATTTCTACCGGATTGATCCCAAAATTTTATTGTGTATTAATAAACAAAATCCTCTAATTTTAAAAAATTGATACGATTTCTCTACCTTTGTTATTCAATGCATTGAGAAAAAAAACCTCGTAAGTAACGGAGCAAATGGCTGCGATTACCTTCAACAACGCCAATCATACTAATTTATCCAAAGGGACGACACGTTTTGACGAAGTCTACGGCGAACTCATGAACTATCGAAAAGTCAATACAAAATGATACGAGAGTTCGTGGCGCTGCGAGCGCTCAAATGATGTTTGCACTGAAGTGTCGTCAGCTTGAATTTATCCTTACTAAGTGAATGTAAGTCTGTTTTCAGCCCTTTTTCTACGTTTTCATATGCTTACGTGGAATCGATACGTTCAGTCTTTAGTAGAAACTGTGTCATGTGACGTTTTTGCAATTTGGCTCAACGATGATTACATTCGTTCTGTTCGCAATGAGTCGTCTTCCCGGCTGATGTTGATAAACAATCGAATACTCTTAATCAGTGAATAAAAAGCAAATCGGTCAAAGTGCGCGTTATCAGTCATTTCAAGCATTTCAAACCGTGCACAACATTAATCTTGCTCTCTTATTATTTTAATATTGCAATTCGAAAATAGCAACCTCATTGGGAATATTTAAATGAGAATTCTCTTTTGAAAGACTGAAAAAGATTCCAACGAAGTGATTAGTTTTAACATAGAATTTAAGTGTTATTTTTTAAACGGGATTTTTTTAACTGAAACAAGGTAACTTTTAACACGAAAAATTTCTTGCCATTTCCAACATTTGGGTAAACCTTATGACGAAAGCATTTACTTATACTTCCAAATTATACCGTATAGATGCCGTTAGAGCATTCATTGCTGAATATTTTCCATTTACAGCGCAGTTTATTGAATAATTGTTATATTCTCCGTGTTTTAATAATTGACATACATTTTGGAGCAGATTCAAAATGAAGGATTTAGTGAATGGAAGCAATTCAGTTGAAAATCACAGTGCACATAAGGTTTCACAAAGTACAAGCAACGGTGAAAGGTAATTGAACTGATTACAATGAATCAATTGTAAATTCAGTGAAAATGAAATCAAAAACCAACGAATGATTGATTATCTGAATTTTGTCAAGCAAACCCGTATCAGATCATGTGATTTTAAATGTTTTTGTTCAAACGTGTTGTTCATTTCGGCAATTCTAAAAGAAAACAATAAAAATAATAATCAATGAAAATCCAAAATCAAACTAAATGTTTTTTCTCCATTTCCTTCTCCAAAACAAAAGCCATGACTCGGAGCGAACGGCGCGAGTGATTAATGGTTTGGCAATTGCAAAGGAAATCAGGCAAGAGCTGAAGGAGCACATCATCGAATGGGAGAACGAAGGTCATCGTCCGCCTCATTTGACGGCTGTGTTAGTTGGCGAAGATCCAGCAAGTCAAACATACGTCAATAACAAGATTAAGGTTGTGTGATTCGATTAACAAAACAAAAACTCATCGTCGTTTTTGTCTATTTAATTCTTATCACAAAATGTTGTTTTTCGCACAAAATCACAGGCAACGGCTGAAGTGGGCATTTCAAGTGAAACAAAACGATGTTCGTCAACGATTACTGAGTCGGAACTATTGAAAGTGATCAACGATTTGAATATGAACGATAATGTTGATGGGATTTTGGTGCAGTTGCCGTTGCCTCCGCATATAAATGAACGGTTGATTTGTGATGCGGTTTGTGTTAACAAAGATGTTGATGGGTTCAATGAGAAGAATGTCGGTCGCTTGTGTTTGGATATAAATTCATTGATTCCATGCACTGCGCTAGGCGTACAGGAGCTCATTCGGCGAGCGCACATTGAAACATTCGGCAAAAATGTCGTGGTCATCGGTCGATCGAAGAACGTTGGATTGCCGATTTTCATGTTGTTACATGCGGACGGTCGAAATGAAACCGGCGCCATGGATGCCACAGTGACAATGTGCCATCGGTTTACACCACGTGATGAACTAAAGACATTGTGTCGTCATGCTGATATTATTGTGTCGGCCACCGGTGTTCCGAAGCTCATTACAGCCGATATGGTCAAAGAAGGCGCCGCGATCATTGATGTCGGTGTCACTCGTGTTAAAGATGAAGTGACTGGAAAGTTTAAACTCGTTGGCGATGCGGATTATGACGGTTGGTTGGACTGAAACTTTGTTCGATTGATTTCGAAAATCATTTTTCGTTTGTGATTGAAATTTTGAGCCTGAAACGTTGATTTTTTCGTCATTTTCTGAGAATTTTCGTGTTTTGTTTCCTGTAATTTAAAACCATTTACTTACACGATATTTTTCATTTAATTCAACTTTACAGAAGTTCGAAAAGTGGCTGGTTGCATCACTCCGGTGCCTGGTGGCGTTGGCCCGATGACCGTGACCATGCTGATGCGAAACACATGGGTTGCTGCTAAAAATCTATGCAAACTACCTGCCTGTCAAAATGGTCATGCTCAATAGAAAAATCAGTGTGAAATTATTGAAATGTTGTATTCTCGGTGTTCATTTTTATTCAATGCAATTTCGTCACACCAAAATGGGCTCATTCATCGTATTTGATTTCAATTATTTTTCTTTGTCAGCTCAGAGCAACTTGTGAATGTTTTTGTACTGGATGAGTTTCGACTTTAGCGATAAACGCTTTGAGCATCTTCCATATCGAAATGGTGACTCAATCATATATTATGCTGATGTTTTATCAAATTGTTGGGAAACTCAAATGAAACTCAATTTCAATCACTGCTGATATTCGAACTTTGTTGGAATTTATGTTTTTCTAAGCAAAGAGTTAAAATTTTTCTAATTTTTTTTTATGAAAATGTATATAAAATAAATACAATTTTCAGAATTTCTCAATAAGAGGGAAAATATATGCCGTTGAATTGCTCGTCCATCATTGTCCAATGTCCAAAATATTGCCAAAAAAGTTTGACGATTGACTTTCAGAAGACTCCGATGATGACTCCGATGATCTTGAGCTTTGTGAGCTTCCGGTGGCCATTTTTTGCATTTCACCAGCCGCACCTCCTGAGTTAGCAAAGAACACGATAGAAAAACATTTAATTTTAATGCAAAAAATTCACCTTCTTCTTATCCATCTTCTATTTTGATCATTCTATTGCTTGTCCTTTCCATTCTTCTTTTTCTTGTCTATATATCAATCAAAAATTATAATGGAAATTTAAACAAACCATATTGTCCATCATATTGACCACCATGTCTGCCAGCAAGAGTCGCTCCACCCTCTAACGACTGAGCAAATTTATTTGAACTTTCCGACGACGATTCAAACGATGATGATTTTCTGGACTGCTTTGACATAGTCATTGATCCTTCCTTTGTGGCTCCCATGAAACCTTAAAAATTAATTTCAACTTTCAACGCAATCCACTTTTACACATTAGTTTAACTCTAAGTTAATTGCAGTGAAATGGATAAATGGACTATTTTTTCACTGCTTTCACATACCACCAAAGCTTGGGAGTTCAAAGTTGAATGCCGCATGGCAAGCCAAGCACATAGTCAACACTAATAATAAACTAGTAAACTTCATTTTGGTCAATTAATTTATTTGCACTAACGATATATCGTATGCATGAACAATGCTCCGAATTGACTCGGAGAAAAATTAAGAACTTTTTTGAAGCTCTCAAAACTATTTGGTTCATTCGATGAAAAGATACCACCTTTTATACTGATGCTATGGAATTTAGAGTGCAGTAGAATGAGTCATTGAGTGGCAAAATTCTTAAAATCTTTCGCTCATTTCATTACCGTGTTTGACATTTAAATAAATGTCTGTACAAAACCTGTACCAGGATTGAAGACGTACATTTCGTCTTATTTACTACATTCTTCATTGTTAATTACAATTTTACAGACCCAAAATATGTGTCGTATTCAATTAAATGAAACTAAGGGGTGTGAAATGATCTAATAACGTAAGCATTTGTCTCTTTTTTTTAGCGGAACTGGCTTATTCAGATGACATTGCATTGTTTAGCAAAAAATATCTAATTTAGCAAAATATGTCAAGCATCAGATGGTATATCAATATAAAAAAAACAATTTATCAATTTTCATTTAATAAAAGTGACATATGAGGGGTTTGGAGCGAAAATGTCATACAGAAAAGTTGAGAGGAAAAATGTCAAATGAAAAGAGATAGCTATAAAGTTCAATATAGTTTACTATACAGTTTACTATATAGCTATCCGGCGGCGTGCAAAGAAAATTTGACGCCCGAAGCAAATTGCCGCCCCAAAATCAAAATTTGAAGAGCAAAAAAAAGGTCATCACTTTTAAAACTCAATTCTATCTAGTGCAAACTCCAATTTTACCAATTTTGCCGCCCTCAAAAAAATGCCGCCCGAAACAATTGCTTCGCCAGCGTCGTGCTTTGCACGCTACCGTAGCTATCCCTTTTCCGCTCATTCATCATCGACATTTTTCCGCTCAACTTTTCTGTATTACATTTTCGCTCTAAACCCCTCATATTTAACTATAATGTCCTCGTTAGATACTATTTGTTTCAAACAATCGATACGTTTACATGGTTTTTAATCCAATCAAGAGTTCATACGTGTAAACTGATCGGCTTTCCTAATTGCGCACAGTGATGTTTCAGGCATATCCCATAGAGCGATACCGAGGAGCGCCGTTATGAACGAGTGGATTTCCACCTATGAAATAACAAAACAGAATGGAAATGCACTTATATATGTGCTACACAACCAAAGTGTCAAATAACACATGACTCAATAAGTTTCCGGCCTGACACAAGAAGTTATCATTTTCCACTTTTGTCGTTCAAAATTTCGTAAATTTTATTATTTTCAGCAAATCAAAGTCATTTCCATCCTACATTAAAATGTTACCAAGTAGAAAGCAAAAAAACACCGTTCAAAATATTGTTCTAAATGTTTCACTTTATTTTCATATTTTTGCAGGGATTCATTCCCTCAATTTAAATGGGTTCACAATAACAGCTTAAATTCCAATGTTTGGAATGTCTATCTAGTTTGGATCATGTAAAATGTCTCCATCAAATAGTTGCTACTAAAAAAATATATCATTGATTTTGAGTGGAATGATGCAAGCTTGATCAAGGTTTCACAAATCTCGAGTCCTATCGGCGAATACTTGTCTAAATTACGGTCTATAATATTTGGAAACTTTCAATTAAATTCGACTAATTTGCACGATACGTATATATCAACCAGGCGTCGACCTGCTCAATTGTATGACATTACAATTGCTGCCAAGCCATTTACTTAAAGCCTATACAAACAATTCGTGCAATGTTTCGATCGAATTGCATGAAAATCGACCATCGTCGCTATTTCGAATACATTTTTTATCTTGACGGCATTTCAGTAGCCAATTCAAGTAGTTTTACAATATTTACAAGCTGCCGTGCACGCTTGGTGCAAGCCAATTTATACAGTTTAACGTATCACAATATGGTCCCTAGTTTTGTCGTCATTATTTCTTTACATTTTCTTTAATCGCCTTAAACTATGCAATTTTGGTTTCTCTTTTTATCCATTTCTTTGTGGAATTCAATTGTTTTTTGTCGTCGGTGACGAATATTTTGATGCCACGAAATTATCGGCTTGCTTTTGTTTCTCTATGAAAACAATCCTTGCTCCGTCTTTATCACCCGATTTAGAATTCGGGCCACGAATCGATTTTTCGATTCGATGTGAACATTTTTGGTTGCCTCAGCAATCTTTTTAGCTCTTCGTTGGAACGATTACTTGTCGACGGTCTAATTGTCACACGCTTGACCCGTTAACTTCGTTGCATATACATGAGCCACCTGAAATTGGAGAAAACAGTAGAATTTATTAGAAAATGGGAAAATATTTGGAGAAGTAACAATTGATAAATGAAAAATTTGGAAATTAATTCAAAAATAATTAAAGTCAGCCACGAATTAAAAAAAAAAGAATTTTGAGACAAAACAAATGAAAGAAAAATCGAAAATTTGCTACAAATTTAAATTGGAACTCTTCAGAAATGATAAACCAAATTTTATTCGTTCTATTGAATTAGTCTAAATCGAAAATTGAATTCAATTTAAATTCCATTCAACCAAAATCAATTTTTTTATACAAGATTTTCATTGAAATAAATTGATCGAGAAATAAAATTAAATTTTAACAACAAAATCTCTGTTGAAAATTTGGTTTGCAACTAAAAATAAACCAAAAACCATGCACAAATCTAACAAAATGAAGAATAAATAATAAGAATTTTGATGAAATCGAATTTTTGATTAAAAATGAAAATTGTTGAATGAAAAAAAAAATAATGAAACAATTGCCATTCATATTTCGCAGTTTATCGACCCTAAAATTGAACTGCTGAGAATAAAAGGCTGACGATTGCAGGTTTTTCGCA